CAAAAAAAAAAAAAAAAAAAAAAAGAGAATTGAAAACCATAAGTACTTGAACGTTCTTAAGTTCAAAGATCTCTCCCCTCACATTGTTGTTTCTACTTAATCTATTTATTTCGGTATATTTCAATCGTGAGTCATATCCAACAGTTGGTATCAGAGGTAGGATGTTGAAACAAATGTCGTCACAAAAAAAGTCGCGGAGGAGATATGACAACAATAAGGAGTAAAAAGGAGGAGAATCTTAACGCTTCAGTATCCGTTATTCACGAAAAGTAACTATGCAGCATGGTTGACAAAAATGCATGTTAACTTACAAGCACAAGATGTGTGGGACGTCATCGAGCATGGTGACAATGTCGAGGAGTGCAAGGATAGGACGATTCTTGCTTCCATCTATCAAGCAGTCTTGGAGGACGTCCTTCCCATGTTGGCAGAGAAGAACTTGGCAAGGGCAAAATGCATGTGGGTGTGGAACGTGTCAAGGAATCAAAAGTGCACACCTTAAAGAGTTAGTTTAAGGCTATCCGCATGAAGGACGGCGAGTCAATAGATGACTTTGTCATGAAGTTGACAACGATCGTCAGCGGTATTCATTTGTTGGGCGACAAGGTAAATTAGATCTCCGTCTTCAAGAAGTTCCTTTGAGTTGTTCCCCAAGATTCATATAGATTGTTGCCTTTGTTGAGAAGTTCGGCAGCCTCAAGAATAAGTTGGTTGAGGAGGTCATTGGTCGTCTTACTTACTTACACATGGTTACGACGGTTAACTTGGGGAGAAAGAGAAGGAGGAGGTCAAGAGACTTCATGGCTACGAAGAAGAGGAGGAATACCTCTTAATTACACATGAGGAGCAGCTCGCACAAACAAAAAAGAAAAATGCGGCTGACTCTTCTTTTTTAAGTACAAGGGGATGTGACAGCCATAACAAGGAAAACATAGGTCGCGGACATTGTTGCAAACGTGGTGGCAGAGGAGGTCGTGACAATACCTCACAAATCCATGACAATGCATACCTCTAGAAGGAAAAGAGTATGATCAAGTGTTACTATGGTGGAAAATATAGGTATTATGTGGCAAAGTGCCGCAACAAAGAGCACGATGAGGAGACAAATCTCATGTGCACAGATGATGAGATGTTGAAATAAATTCGCTCTGATACCAATTTGTTGAAATTAAAAGCCGCTCTTATACCAACTTGTAGAAAATAAACGTTCACTCTGAAACTAACTCGTTTAGATAACTCTCACGAAGCTGTGAAGGAGATGCGAGAGAGGAGAGACAAGTAGACAGAATTCTAAATTGATGATATGTACTTCTTTTTAACTCTATACTCTTGCTCTACTTGCTCTTTTTCTGTTTTTGCTCCTTCTAACTTAAAATTGGCCATAACTATCCCTTCTCCCACCCATAAACTACTGCTTTCCTAGGATGAGCCTATTGACTAAATTTTAAAAACAAAAAATTAATAACTACTTTTTTTTCTCTCTCTCAAAGAGTTTATTCCCAACAAAACTTTCCCTTAAATGTTCTATTCAATGATTCGACCTGTGCGGTTTTCATTTTCTCGAGCTCAGTTGTGGTTTTCTCAATTTTCTCTCATTTTCCTCGAGCGGCAAAATAAGGTTGTCCTTCTCTTATGAGACTTCATTTGGATCTTCTCGAGAACAACCCATCTGAGACACCAACTCTTCATTTCTCCCGTTCTCAACCATGCTTGACTCAGACATCATGGCTTCGTTCAGTTTACTCAATTTCCTTCGCAAGTCCACAACGACATTTTCCACTTCCATTTTTGCTTCCTCCATTTCAGCTTTATCACAAGTGATTATCTCAATCGTGCGTCGTAAACTCACTGCCTGCTGTTGGACTCGATTCAGATTCACATCAACTGAATCTCTCTGTTGAGTTAACGTCTCTACATCTTTCTCCTTCATTTTCAAATCAACTTTTCTCTCCAAATCTTCAATAACCCTACCAGATTCATCCAATAACCTCTTAACAAATTTCTTCTCTTTCAACAGATTCTGATTCATAATCTCACTCTCCATCTTTTTAGCTGACAACTTCTTGCATTTCACCTTCAAATCCTCTATCTCTTCCAAAGCCCTTCTCTCATTTTTCTCCATTTCAATCATTTTCTTTCTCAAATCTCCTATTTTCTCGAACAATCGATCAGAATTAGCCTTAATTCTATCACTCTCACAGCAAACCATCCATTTCTCCCTTTCATCCTCAACTTTCAACACAAGCCCATTATTCTCATCTTTCAATCTCCCAATCTCCACATTCTTCAATCTCTCACTCTAACCTAACCTACAAATCCTATCTCTCACTTCATTCATTTGACTATGTTTCTTCTCGTCGGCATTCTTCGTCAAGTCAAGTTCCAAACCCTCTTTAGCCTGAACCAGAGCTCCAAACTCCTTTCTCTTCTCGTATGTCTTCTTCAAAAGGTGCTCGTTCAGCGATTTCAACGTTTGCAACTAAGACTTCTCCACAGATTTATCCACGACAGATTTGAGTTGTTGCTTTTAATCTCTATTCTCCTCCTGATGATTCGGCAGTTTCTTTGGCTCGTTCGCCGATCGCGTGTTCAATCCAAAGTCCTTCGATTTTCTCATCTCCGATATCGCAATTTCGCCAATCCACTGCGTATCACCTCATTTCTAACCGTTTCTACCACCTTAAGACTACCGCCATCATCTTTCGCGCCGCAGTCTCCTTTTGTGTTCGGCTCTTCGTTTTGGGCCATCAAGAGAATGCCTCCATTTGTTGCGTCATCCAAGGCCAGGTTGATGATTTCTTCCACCTCTTCTTCGGCTCGACAATCTCTTGCATAGTGATCCATTCTGCCACAATTGTAACATTTGTCAAAGTTACAATTATTTGCATGGTGGCCATATTTCTGACATTTATAGCACTAGATGTTGGAATTGTATCCTTGACTGCGTTCTTGATTGCATCCTCTTCCACGCCAATTTGCTTGGCTCGATAGTCTCTTCTCATTATAGATATCTTCATAACTGTTGCCTTGACCACCTCGACCATTCCTGCAGCTTCCACGATCTCTACCTCGAAAATTTTGTGAATAGAATATTTTTTTCATCCCTTATTGATACCTTCGTCTGAAGTGTTTGATTGAGTGGCTCCTCTTTCTTTTTCTTACGTTGCTCGTGTGCCTTGAGAGAACCGGCGAGCTCATCAACCATGAACTTCGCTGGGTCCTTCGACTCTTCTATTGCACATACGACATTCTCGAGGTTGTCGGTTAATGACCTCAAGATTTTCTCCACAACCCACGTCTCGGGTAACATTTCTCCATTTCGATTTAGCTGATTCGCCACGGTCTGTACACGTGTAATATAGTAAGATACATTTTCTAACTCCTTCATCTTCATGTTAACTCGCCACACAGAGTCTGGAGATGCACCTGCTTGACTCGTCGGTTCTTTGAACACCTTTTCTAGAGTGTCCCACACTTCTTTTGTAGTAGTTGCCCTTGCAATCTTCTCAAAGCCCGACTCGTCAACAGCCAGGAACAACATGTATAATGCTGCCTTATCCTTTGATCGTAATTCTTTTAGCGCTTTGTTTTGCGTTGTCGTATAACCCGTGGTATCCTTCCGTTCTTCGAAACCTTCTTCAACCTCCTGCCATGCGTCTTGTGAATTGAGAAGAGCTTTCATTTGGATGCTTTAATTCTCGTAGTTTGTCTTCGTCAACCGTGGAAGCGGCATTTGTCCCATCATGTTCGCCATTGACTCTGATACCAATTTGTTGAAATAAATTCACTCTGATACCAATTTGTTGAAATTAAAAGCTGCTCTGATACCAACTTGTAGAAAATAAATGCTTGCTCTGAAACTAACTCGTTTAGAACGATAACTCTCACGAAGCTGTGAAGGAGATGTCGAGAGGGGAGAGACAAGGAGACAAAGAATTCTCAAAACTCTTTTCTATTGTTCTGAACTTCTTTTTAACTCTATGACTCTTGCTCTACTTGCTCTTTTCTCTTTTTGCTCTTTTCTATTGTTCTAAACTTCTTTTTAACCCTTCATTGATGAGAAGTTCATTGAAAACATGAAGTTTTGCAACGGATAAATTGGACTAATACAAGACAAAGGATCTATCTTGTTCTAATGTAAGAAACTCGATCAACGTCTATTGACCAAGATGTGTTACATCCTGAGTTTGAAAAACAATATTATTAGTCTTGGTCAAATGACAGAAGAAGGTAGCAATATTATTAGCCTTGATCAATTAACGAAGTGCAACTTACAAGTCGATGTATTTCATCAAACTTATCATCTCAACCAAAGAGGCCTAGAGGAAGGTCACCAGGGTTAAGAAAAATGAGACTTCAAACTTTCATCTCAACCAAAGAAACCTAGATGAAGTTCTAAAAAGAAGGTTGAAAAACAGGGAAGCATGTTACAAGAAGCTTTTAAATGAAAGCGTGTTGATAAACATTTTGTACAGAAGAAAGGAGTGGAAGAAATTGCATGTTTTAGAATTAAAATTTCTTTTGTTGAAGACAGAGTTGACCAGGGACCAAACAAAGCTCCAAGTGTGTTCTACCTATAGAGCTTATTTATCTGCACAAAACTAGGACGTTATAGTTAGGTTGGCTCGACAATGACTTAGGTCCATATGCCTCTAATAAACTGAGGACCTTAGGATCGTGAGTGACATTTAGGAGGTCTAGACCCTAGTGCTCCCATATTAAGAAAGAATCGAGAAGTCGGAGTAGAGAAACCTGGAGCCAGAAGTCTGCATTAAGCTACTTGGCCACTTTAGGAATCCAATAGACCTCCTCAACTCCCAGAGGTGACCAAGATGATGTTTAAATTATAGATTACACGCTGTGATCGATTGGTATATCTCCCTAGCAAAGCCTGCATGGGAAATCTCAGTTAAGATTAAGGCACTAAAGCTAATGCGATTTACACATTGACCTTGTTAAGGATATTTAGTAATAAATTATAGTTTACCATATATATCATATTTGATATTTTATTATGAGGCAAATATCTAGATATTTGCCTTATTACCATAGGTATCTTTTCATTTAGTGTTATTTCCATTTATTACTATTTTCATATCCTTGTAATTTATTTGATTATAAATAGATAATTTTCACACACTATTTAGGTGTGGTGGATTAATCAAACATTCTTATGGTATCAGAGCAATTTTGGTTTAGCAACCTGGATCCTTTCTTTTCGATGGCTTTTGAAATCTTCTACCATTCTTCTCCACCACTGCTGGCTTTGACGCCGCAGGGGCAGTCATCATGGTTGCCATATGCAAAGCTGATTGATTACTCTTCATCTCCACCCTTTTGACCTCCAAATCACCTTTCGCCATACTTTGTACATACAACCTTACCTTTTCTAACACAATTGATTTTTTCTCAACCAACATAGTTTCTCTCATTTTCTTCCCAATCTTCCCTTCATCCTTCACATAAACCCTAACCTAAACCTATCAACCTTCGACAGAGATTTACCTTTGGAATCTGGGCGCCACACTGGCCTCTTCACCAACTAAGTCACCGCCGCCCTTCTAGCCAAATTTGGTTCCTTCGCCCACTGTGGCTACTCTTTCAGCTTCAACATTATCTTTTGTCTCTTGCTTTAGGTTTCCCCTTCTACTTCTTAGGGTTAGACATATTCTTACCAGAGCCAAGGCAACATCGTCGCTAAGCGACAATCCCTCTTCATGGGTTAGACATATTCTCGCCGAAGTCAAAGCAGCATCGTCGCTGAGCGGCGATCCCTCTGCAATTTTCGATGGCCAAGAAAGTGTTTCTCTATGCCTCCTCTGAACCAGGTTGTTGACATCTTCACGAAAAGTGTGATGGCCAAGAAAGTGTTTCTCTATGCCTCCTCTGAACCAGGTTGTTGACATCTTCACGAAAAGTGTTTCTCAACCTCTTTGAATTTTTCAGATCCAAGCTTCACGTTCGTTCAAATACGACGCTCAGCTGTGTTTCTCAACCTCTTTGAATTTTTCAGATCCAAGCTTCACGTTCGTTCAAATACGACGCTCAGCTTGCGGTGGGGTGTTAAGGATATTTAGTAATAAATTATAGTTTACCATATATATCATATTTAATATTTTATAAAAAGGCAAATATCTACATATTTGCCTTATTACCATAGGTATCTTTCCATTTATTGTTATTTCCATTTATTACTATTTCCATATCCTTGTAATTTATTTGATTATAAATAGATAATTTTCACACACTATTTAGGTGTGGTGGATTAATCAAACATTCTTAGACCTAGATCAAAACGTTTCCAGTATACTCTACACCTTAGGATCGTTAGCGGCGATCAGAGGTCTAAATCTGAGTGCACCTAGAGACATTGATTAGCCCCGCGGAGCTAACCCCGAGCATCCTGAAAACTAGGGAAGAAATTTAAACTGCCTAGAAACGCCTAAGAACCTAGTAGGCCTCCACAGAAACCAAGGACGACCAAGGTAATTCTTCAGACTGATGGTAGTGTGACGGCGTCATTAGAGTCTCCGCTACCTATTCACTCCGGTACCTGTTCCTGAGGGGGGGGGGGNTCCTGGGGGGGGGGGGGGAGGCGTGGGACCACATAGGTTGATCTAGTAGTTGCTCGGACATACGGGGGCGCTTCCCCATTCTTTGGTGATTTTAGGTCTCTTGAAAAGGTCCACCAACTAACCTTTCATGGACGATGTACAGATTAGCAGACACAATTTTGTGCCTATAGAGTATACGAGGTCGTTCCTCAATTTAGGTCACCAGTCATTCACTACATTATCAAAATAAGCTGCCAAGGTCAAAGAGCAAAAAGATTGTAGCAACTCAGCGAGACAAAGGTAACCACAGACGGTTAGTAATTGGTATAGTGTTGACATAGCCTCCACCTCCTTTTCCCCTCTCGTATCAGTGTTATCGAGCTAGGCCAAGGTCGGTTAGGGTTGTATTGCTATCACAGCATATCCATCCGGAGAAGAAATGTAAAATTATGCATGTAGCATTATTAGTTGACAAGTATAAGTTGACAAAGTACAGGAATCGCTTTAATTAAAGATTAGCTATTCATTTGTTTTAAAATGGCAATTGGAGAACTTAGATGGAAGGTAAAAAAAAAAAAAAAAAAAAAAAAAAAAAACATTGAAAAGCATGTAAAAGTAAAACAAAAAACTTGAACTACAAAAGGACGAAAATTAGATAAGGTCCAAACTAAAAAAGTTAGAGCATGCAAGAATATGGTGATGCATTGCAAAATGTTAAGCATGCAGGTATGAAAAAGAACAAAATTAAATGATTTTAAAAAACAAAAAAAAGGAGAGACAAAATCAGAAAATAAAAATACATTTTTAGGGCCACATTTAAAGGGAGCTGTTAATTTGATTCTCATCCCCTTTCAGAAAATCAAAAGAGTTTTCACTATGAGTACTTTCGAAGAAGCGACAATTATGTGTTGTAAGATGCATGTGAGGAGGAGAGATAAAAAGAATCCCAAATTCCCAATTTACCCTTCTTGCCACCCTATAAATCTCCCCAAATCCCACCAATCCAAATCCATTCAGTTTCCACCCTTATTCTCTCTTCTTTGCATGCAATGGCTTTGAACGGCAAGGTGGCAACCGAATCCGCTCCCTCAAGCTTGAATGAGGAGACGAAAGGGGAGTACCGTCCGCCATTTGGGGGCTCCGACGAGTCAAAGGTGCCGGAGGATTTCATTTGGTCGGAAAAGTTTGAGGCATCCGAGTTGCTGCCGGTGCTGGATGTTCCAACTATTGACTTGGAAAAGTTCATGAGTGGCGACAAAAGTTATGTGGAAGAGGCGACAAGGCTGGTGGATGAGGCTTGTAGACAACATGGCATATTTTTTGTGGTGAACCATGGAGTGGACATGGAAATGATGGGCCGTGTTCATGACTGTATGAATGAGTTCTTTACAATGCCTTTGGATGTGAAGCAGAGGGCCAAGAGGAGGGTAGGTGAGAGTTATGGATATACCAATAGCTTCTTTGGGAGATTCGCGAACAATCTTCCATGGAAGGAAACCTTTTCCCTTCGGTGTGTGGCTGCTCAAAACTCCTCCGCTGCTCATGACTATGTTCTTGACACTTTAGGCTCATCATTCTCCCATCATGGGTATCTAAATTCCATTCTCTCTACCTATGCCTATTCGATTCTTATACTTTTTTTTAATTGCCTGATGGTGTTTTAGGAAGGCGTATCAAGAGTGTGGGATAGCATTGAACCAGCTTGGTATGAAGATTGTGGAGCTTTTGGGGCTTAGCCTTGGCGTTTCAAGAGAATACTTCAAGAATTTCTATGAGGACAACGATTCAATATTGAGGCTTAATTACTACCCAACATGCGACAAGCCAGAGGTTGTGTTGGGAACTGGCCCTCACACTGATCCCACCTCCGTCACACTCCTTCACCAAGACCCTGTCAGTGGCCTTCAAGTGTGCTCCAATGATCAATGGTATTCAATTCCTCCAAACCCAGAAGCCTTTGTCATCAACATCGGTGACACTTTCACGGTACGTCACACAAAATTACAATTAGGGTTCTTCATTTTTCATCTTCCTTCTTCTAAACTCGACTGATTTTGATATGGGTCGTTTGGTTTTGTGTGCTTGAAGTCTCTCACAAATGGGATTTACAAGGGCTGCATACACCGCGCTGTAGTGAATTCCATGAATGCAAGAAAATCATTGGCCTTCTTTCTATGTCCATCGCATGACAAAGTGGTGAGAGCACCGGAGGAATTGGTGGAGAAGAGTCCACCCCGAAAGTATCCAGATTATAAATGGCCAATGTTGCTTGAAATGACCCAAAAGCGTTACCGACCTGATTGCAACACTTTGGAAGCCTTCAAAACTTGGGTGAAAGATGGAAAGGCGTTGGACACTGGGTCCACTATTACCGCCCCGTCTGCTTAAACCAACCGTAACTATGTCTCTCTATGTATGCCAATAAATGTTTCTATATTTATGAGCTTTCTAGGGAAGAAGAACATCGTGTAGCGTTCGGTCTATGTCTCTCTTGTGTGTTGCTGGACGTTGCAATTAAAATAAACTCTTTAATATCACATGTTCTTACTTTGCTGCTCATCTTTTGTTTTGTTGTGTGGTAGTGATGTGCATGTTTGACACCTTACATTCAAAACAAAATATATCTTGTTTTTCTTTTTCTCACTCCATACTAAGTAAAAACAATGTCTGAATTGAGATTTCTCTTTCTAAAAACCTAAAGATGAATGGAAGAGGAACAAAATTAAGTGTTCTTTTCTCTCTTGTGTTTGTGTCTCGGTGATTTTCAATGGCTATAAATAATTGGAGAAGGAGGAGGGATGTAAGTTTTTTTTTTCCTAGATGTAATGTCCTATTTTCCTATTAAAAGTAAGGTTAATATGCATGCATGACATGTGTCCTATGCACGAAAAATTTGTTAAATCGTTTCCTAAATAATGTCATGAACTTAAAATGTTCATATAAAAAATCAGAATTAGGCTAGCACTAAGAAACTTTAGTAATATCGGCTTAGGCCAACTAGGTAAGTAGCTCTATTATCGACTTGGTTGGACAAATTGTATTATGTATGATGATGTGTGCCTTGTGCCTGTATGCTATGTTGTTCGATGCTATGCTATGTCATATATCAAGGCTATTATAAGAGTTCAAACCCAATGTTAGTAGATATTATCCTTTTTGGGTTTTTCCTTTCGGGCTTGTTTGCTCCTGTATGCTATGTTATGTCATGTATAAAAGGTATGTAACAGCCCAAGTCCACCACTAGCGGATAATGTCCTCTTTGGGCTTTCCCTTTTGGGCTTCTAGGACCCGTATGCTATGTTATGTCATGTATAAAAGCTATTGTAACAACCCAAACTCAAGTCCACCGCTGCAAATATTGTCCTCTTTGAGCTTTCTTTCAAGATTTTGAAACGAGTTTGTTAGAGAGAAGTTTCTACACCCTTATAAAGAATATTTGGATCTCACAATCCACCCTCTTTAGAGGCCTAGTGTTCTCTGGCACACTATAGGTTTCCACACCCTTATACGTAATGTTTCATTCCCCCCTCCAACCATGGAGAGGTTTCCACACCCTTAAAAGAAATATTTTGTTCCCCTCTCCAACCAATGAGGCATCTCACAATCCACCCCCATGGGGTCCAGCGTCCTCGCTAGCACATCATAGGTTTCCATCCAACCAGGGACAAGTTTCCACATCGTTATAAGGAATGCATAGCACACCATAGGTTCCCACACCCTTATAAGTGTAATGCTTCATACACCTCTATTCCCCTCTCTAACTAATGTGGGATCTCACAATCCACCCCTCTTGGGATCCCGGCATCCTTGCTGGCACACCATAGGTTTCCACGGCCTTGTAAGTAATGCTCCATTCCCACAATCCACCTCTCTTGGAGGCCAGCGTCCTCGCTGGAACACCATAGGTTTCTACACCCTTATAAGTAATGTTTCATTCCCCTCTCCAATTGAGGAGAGGTTTCCACACCCTTTATAAGGAAGCTTCATTCCCCTTTCCAACGAGGGAAAAGTTTCTACACCCTTATAAGAAATGTTTCATTCCCCACTACAGCTAAGGAGAGGTTTTCACACCCTTACAAGGAATGTTTTGTTTCCATCTCCAATGTGAGATCTCACATCTATGGTATGATGTGATCATGTCATGTTGTATAAAATTGTTATGAATCAACGATCCATGATGCATAAACCTTCATAGACCATGTCATAATGATATGTTATGTAGGAAAGAATGTTTAGCCATTCACAAACTCATTATGTTATAGATGAATGAAAGTTTGTCTTGCATCATAAATTGTGTCATGATTAGAAACTATAGAGACCTCATACATATTTTTGTTTCACATGCATCAGAATATTTTTCCATTATGATGAGTATGCACGTGTATACGACTTATAATTTACAACCTTTATTGTTATTGGCCTAAAAAACAATTATGTATAGTCATAAGACATAAAATTAAATATAATATAACATCTTTAACTTGTATTTTGAGAATGAATTTATTTATTTATTATTTTTTTTTTTTTTGGCCAGAAATTGCTGCGGAACATTCTCTTTATCCACGTGCGTAGCACGAGCGATGCAATCGGTCAACTCGCGGATGCAATTGCTGGACCTCGACGTTTCATTTTGCCTGCGAAACTGAGCTTGCTTTCCCCCACGCAGAACCCAGTTCCCGAGATCTTGCCATCGCCATTTTCGAGCACTGAGTAGACGCTTTAAGAAACTGGGTTTTTCTTGTTTGGGTCAAATCCAGAATCCTTTTACGCCATTTTCGTTTCTGATTCTGATTCCCGCAACAATTCTTTTATTCTTTTCTCTCGGAATAAATGGGTTCCGATCCCTTCCTTTTGCCTGAGATTGGTCCTGATGGCCTTGCCAGGGAAGCTCCTGTAATTGCCTACACTGAAAAGGTATTCGATCTGACTTTTGGGCTACAAGATTTTTCTTAATTTAATTCTTATTTTATCTTTTCAGTTTTGCTTATTTGTTATCGGATTATGTTGCAGATAATCGAGGAAGGGCGTCTTCAATTGAGAAAGTACGAATTTCTTTTATTACCTTTACGGATCTGGTTTTTCTCACATTATAACTCTCTTTATGTGTTTATTTGCTTATGATTGGTAAATTAGAAGTATTACTTGTTATTCTATCTTCCCTGTTCACGGAAATTTTAGTGTGGGGCGTTATTCTAGTTACATTCTTACATGGTAACAGATATGGATGCAGTAAGTCTTTGTTTGTAGTTTATCAAGTGTGCAATTAATGAAGGAAGTCTTGAAGGAATCATCTTGGCTTAGTTAATCTTTTTTTCTTCTTGGTGTATTACGAGTTTGTGTTGTAACCAAATGTCGATACCAGTGGTTGTACCAAAAGGTCACAACCATCGTTGCTCTGATACCACTTGTTGTAACCTAATGTCAAAACCTTCAATGCTTTGATACTAATTGTTATGGAGTGGAACGAATGTCTAACCTCTAAGCTCTGTTTAGGTTGAAGGTTAATTAAGTTAAGATCAATGACCTAGTGAATTGTAACAGCTAACCGATATTGTCTATTAAGCCCCTCATCACTTCCTGACGTAGTGAATTTCTTATAAGGGTGTGGCAACTTCTCTTTAGTGGATGTGTATTAAAACCTTGAGGGGAATCCCAGAAGGGAAAGCCCAAAAAGGACAATATCTACTAACGGTGTATTACGAGTTTGTGTTGTAACCTAATGTCAAACCTTTGATGCTTTGATACTGATGGTTGTACCAAAAGATCACAACCATCGTTGCTCTGATACCACTTGTTGTAACCTAATGTCAAAACCCTCAATGCTCTAATACTAATTGGTATGGGGTGGAACAAATGTCTAACCTCTAAGCTATGTTCAGGTTGAAGGTTAATTAAGTTAAGATCAATGACATACTGAATTGTAACGGCTAACAGATATTGTCTATTAAGCCCTCTCATCTCTTTCCAACGTAGTGAATTCCTTATATGGGTGTGGAAACCTCTCTTTAGTGGATGTGTATTAAAACCTTGAGGGAAAGCCCAAAAGGAAAAGCTCAAAGAGGACAATATCTACTAACGGTGAGTTTGGATTGTTACAAATGGTATCAAAGTCAAACATCGGGTGGTGTGTTAGCGAGGACGTTGGCTCCCAAGGGAGTGGATTGTGAGATCCCATGTCGGTTGGAGAGGGGAACGAAACATTCCTTAGGGTGTGGAAGCCTCTCTCTAATAGACGCGTTTTAAAACCTGAAGGAAAAGTCCAAAAATGACAATATCTGCTAGCGGTGGGCTTGGACTATTACATGAACTATAATTTGTATGGAGATTAAGTGAATAATCTGAACATGGGGAATTTTTATGTTTGGAAAAGATTTTTCGCATCATTCTTAAGTTTGAAGTTGGTATAGACGAATGAAGGATAGTGTTGAGGCAAAGTTCAGGAGTGTGTTGATTGGGGTAAATTGAGATATCCGAAGCATTGTAGGATAATGTGATCATTTACCATTGATTAACTCATAATGATATCTCAGACAGAGTTGATATTAGTTCCAACATCTCGTGTTGCTGATGGTTGTGATATTTGACGCCAATACTTCAAGTTGACAAGAACATAGAAGTAGACTCTTCATCAAGTTCTTTGTTTTTCTTTTCTTACCCATATCGTTAAATGGGAAATTTTGTTTATTGTTCGGGTCGTAATTTCATTCAGATACATTGATGAGAATTATTCTAAGATTCGAGATGTTGAACGAGAGTTGGCAGAGCTTACAATGGAGATGAAACTCACATCTGGTCCAAAAAAAGCAGGTTGAGCTTACTGTCAGTTGTTTTATATTCATTATTGATTTTCATTAACTGGCTTTGGCTGACCACCAAGCATGGTTACATATCTCTAGCACTCGAACTTCTGCGGAAGAAAATAGAGATGTCAACGGAAAGAATACATGCAGCCAAGTTGAAGGAAGAACAAGCAAAGAAGGTTTGCCCCTTGTCAATTTTTACACGAGTTTAGTGTAATACATTCATCTAGGCTGAGATCCCACACCGGTTGGAGAGGAGAATGAAAGGGAAAGTCCCTAGCATACGCGTTTTAAAACCTCGAGGGAAAGTCCAAAGAGGACAATATCTGCTAGTGGTGGGCTAGAGTCGTTACATGGGCTTTCTTCTTTAGATCGTTAATTGGAATTTAATGAATTGAGTCTGATGTTCTCCCTTCAGGCTTGGGAAGCAGCGTCGAAGGTAGTGCAGGACGAGGAAGCAATTAAGCAAAAGCTATGTGATGACTTGAATCATCTGGTACATAACTTTGCATTAAATTTGGTTATGTTAGAACTAACAAACACAACTTCTTGATAGTACTGTCGTTTATTCTTAATAGGTTCAAGAAAGCAATAATTCGCAGTTGACGAGGCTCGAAGAACTAAAACGAAGAATGGAAGCTTTGAATTCAAACCGAGTATCGACCTCTGTTTCTCAAGTAATGATTTCTGCTTGTTAGCCATTAACATAGCCCTGTTGAGAGATTTGATGTAAAACA